GGGGCGCGGTTTCCATGGGAGCACCAGCTGCTCGGCTGGCGGCAGGGGGGAGGCTGGAGCACGCCGAGCTCTGAGGCGTGAGATTCCGAGTGTGACGTGCCAGCCCCAGGGAGACAGCGGGCCGGGCGGCCGGCAGGCGCTGCCTGGCGGGGGACCGAGGGAGGGGATGGTGGTGGGGGCTGGGGCGAGCCACCGGGCCTGGCCTGGGGGCTTCGAGCCGGGCACGCCCCTCTCTGTGCCTCAATTTCCCCAGCCGCCTGTTCGTCATTGGCTTAACAGGCTTTTATGAGGCCCTGGAGGCCTTACAGGCAACTGTGACATCGTTTCTGCCTTTCATCAGGTAGAGGACACTAATTGAGCACCTACTGTGTGCCGGCATTTGTGCAGGGCTGAGAGTCCAGGCAAATAGGAACCCCTATGGGGCATGACGGAGTCACAAAGATGTGACTCCATCTAGTCATATAAGCAATATTTATGGTGTGCCTGCTCTGTCCCAGGCCCCGTCCTAGACCTGGGATACCATGTGGGGCAAAACAGATAAAAATCCTCTCCCAGACTCCACCCAGCCCCACATCCCAGATGGAGTGGGACACAGTGAGGGACCAGGAGGTTACAAGGCACCGATGTCAGGGCCTCATTGGTGGAAACACGTCCGCAGGTACAACTCAAGAGGAGGTCCCAGTCTCTGCAGGTGTGGAGACCAGGAGAGCTTCCTGGAGGAGGTGGTCAGTGTGTGAGAGCAGTTCAGATGAGTCTAGTTTCTCTGCATCTTTCCGGCTATGGAAACTTGGGCAGCTGTCTTCAAGTCTTCGTGGCTCAGTATTGCCCTCTACAGAGTCGATAGACCACTGGGACCTCCCATTTCAGCGAGGGTTGGAGGAGGTGAGAACTAAAATGGTAGTTAAAGCTCTTGACACAGAGCTGAGCACAGAGACCATGCTTGTTATGTGACTTAGCTGAGACCTAAGGGTGAGAAGGATCTGTTGATGCGAAAGGCGTTCCTGGCAGAGGATGTGCAAAGCCCCAGAGCAACGGTGACTCTGGGGAAGTTCA